AGGGATGTAGCTTTCCAAGCTGTAAAGCTATGGTGTTAAGAGACTGGTGTAGAGCTGTGTTCAAGGAATCCCATGCAATGACTAGACAGTCTAGTGCAGTGGTTTAGATGGCCAAGTGCAGCTAAATACCATGTAAGTGCAAAAATAATGGCTACATTGTATCTAGATATGGTGAAGCACACCTTTAATCCCAGCACTTGGGAGGCAGAGGTAGGAATATCGCTTTGAGTTTGAGGCCAGCCTGGTCCCTTTACTGAGACCCTGTTTCAAAGAGGACAAGCTAAGACACTGGACAAGGATGTGGTTCAGTGGCACAGGTCTCATCCAGCATGCACAAAACCCTGGGATCAAACTCCAGCACAGGAAGTTAAAAAAACAAAACAAAAAAACTTGTTAAATATTAGACAGCTAGTTAGTAACAGGGTCAAGACCCAAAGCCAGAAAGTTAGCTTTCCTATCTCCTGAATCAGCTTCAACCAGCACTTAGCTTCTATGTTAGCAGAAGAACCCAAACACCAGCTTGAAGCTTCACTTAAATCCAATTAAACGCATCTCAAATTATTGTACCCTTGACAGAGTCTTACTTATGTATCCCAGGCTGCCCCTTGAATTTAAGACTCCTGCCTCTGCCTCCCTGCCCCCTGACTTCTTAAATGAAAAGGCTTAAATATGATTTAGACTACTTATTCTTTCTGGGGTGCTTGTTTGTAAGCAGGGCTTCATGTATTCCAGGCTGGCTTCTAACTCTGTGCAGCCAAGAATGACCTAGAACTGTGACCCTATTTCCTCCATCTCTCGAGTGCTAAATTACAGACATGCTTCAAAACTCACTTCATGCAGTGCTGGGTACTGAACCCAGAGCTCTGTGCACACCAGGCAGGCACTTTATCTAGCTGTGACTCATTTTTTTTTTTTTTTTTTAAGATAGTTTTTCTTTTCTGAAGCTAGCTTTACACTCTCTAGCCTCCTGTCTCTAAATGCAGGTGTATGTTACTGCTCCAAGCTAATTTAACTATTTTAGTTTTGGACACCTCAGAATACTATAGGACTCGAGAGGACTTGAGAGGTACAAGCAGGAGGATCAGCTACATCGAGGATTCCAGGCCAGCCAGAGCTACATGAGACTCTGCCTCGAGACAAAACAACAGTAATACTTCAGGGGATGGCTGCCTTATAACTGGAGTGTGATTTCCTGTATTTCTGGCCTTGGCTTATGGGCATTTACACAGGATGTGATGGAGTTTGACCCTGAACCCACCCTTCTGTGTCTTTCTGATGTCTATATACTTGCCTCTAGTGTCCAACCAACTTACTAGCTCTAATCTTCAATGGTCTGAGATCTGATACCCAAAGGGTGTGTAGTCATCCTTGGAGCCAAAACAGTCTGAGCTCTTTTTTGCATTAGTCATAAGCTAAGTTTGCAATTCTTGACCCTGCTTTAAAGTTAGGCAAGGCCAGGTGCCACACTTTGACAGATGAAATACCAGTAAAAGTGACAGAGCTGAAGCTGTAAAAGCTGGTACCCACTCAACCATCCACTAGTTTCCAGCTCTCTCCATCCCTGAGCTAGTGTGACCAGCACAGAACTGCCTGTACACTTGTGACAAAAGGGTGGCATGAACAGGGAGTCCTTTGGTTTTGTTAAATCACCAAGATACGGAAACTTCTTTTATCTAGCTTACTCTAAACTATCCTGACCGACATCCCAGACCTCTCAGTAAACCATTCTTTCATATGGCCAACTTTATTTACATGTTTTACGGCAATTATTTTGATTGTATGAAGGACATTTTTGTAGCTATCCTACTTCAAGGCTGTTTTCTATATCTTTGAGGGGGTGAGGTGAGGAGACATCTCATATAACCCAGGCTGGTCTCAAACTCCACAAATAGCTAAAGATTAGCTTGAACTTTTTTTTTTTTTTAAACTTTTGTCTCGCTCTTTGTTTGCCCACCAAACAGTACCCATGTGGCAGTCAGAGGACAACTAGCAGGAGTCAGTTCTCTTTGTTTGGTTTTTTTCAGACAGTGTTTCTCTGTGGCTTTGGAGGCTGTCCTGGAACTCTTGTAGACCAGGCTGGTCTCGAACTCACAGAGATCTGCCTCCCCTGCTTCCCGAGTGCTGGGATTAAAGGCATGAGCCACCAACGCCCGGCAGGAGTCAGCTCTTTTAACATGTGGGTGTTCTGGGAATCAAACTCAGGTCATGAGGCTTGGCTGCAAGAGCCTTTACCAACTCAAGACAACTGATGTCCTCATCGTCATCTTCTGATCTTCCTGCTTCCACCTCCGAATGCTGGGGCTTACAGGCATGTAGTATCATACCCTACTTACAAAGTGCTCACAAATGCTCTAAACAAGCCCTCTACCAACTGAGTCACATCCCCCAGCTGCCCCATCCCTGCCTCTTTCCTTTTAGTTAGAATAGTTTTTTAGAATACGACAAGGGAGCAGTGGCCAGTAATTACAGTGGACAGGAACAGTAGACAGTAACTACAGTATTGCCTGCATCAAAATACTATTCTCTACATAAAACACATATGCCACGTACCTACTATGTAAAAACACCGTGCCAGATGACAGAGAAGACAGCCCATGACTTTAAAAATGCATCTTATGCTGTGAGTGGAAGAGACAGTTAAGCAACTACGGCAAAAGAGCAAACTTGAATCAGGTGACCCCATCTCTAATCTTAGCACTGCAGGAGTGAGAGGACAGGAATCTACGTTGAAGGTCATCTTCAGTCACTGTACACTGAGTCGGAGCTGCATGAGGTCCTGTTTAAAGAGGAAAAAGAGTTCGAGACCAGCCTGGGCTAGACAAGATCTTGCCTCAAAAAACACCAAACACAACACATCCGCACACAAGAAAACCAGTATAAAACAAATACAAAAACAAAAGGCAGGGCCCCAGAATTAGAGAGGGACAGCTCATTTAGGTGGGGGGGGGGGGAGCACGAAACGGCTTTACAAAGGAAGTTCCTTATGAATTGGCCATAAAACACGAGCCAGGGGCAAGGATGGAGAATGAAGGAGGTCATTTAAGCCTGAAAAAGCCAACAAGTGCCAATATACTGGCGCTCAAACAACAAAACACAAAGCCAAGTAGCTCAACCAACTGACCTAAAAAGTGCAATATATCAAAGGGTATGGCAATAACCTGCTGATGCCAGGTTACTCTGGGCCTAACCAAACAGTGAGGAGGTACTGAACACCAAAGAAGCGGCACACCCATGGGTAATGGTGAGACAGGATAACAGGAAGAAAGAAAAATATGTTCAGGGGGCTTCTGGGGGAAATTCCCAGAAACGTCAGACCCCAAATCAGTGTGATGACTCTTAGGAGTTGAAAGAAATTGAGCAATGCGGTGGCAGCACTAGGACTTGTCACCAACCGCACAAAGACAATAAATGAAGGCAAGAAGCAACTCTGACTACAGCTTTGTGGTGACTGGGGCTAACTATAAAAGTGACAATGCAACTGAATTCCTTCCTGACGAGTCCAGGTCCATTGCCCCCTCGGGACAAAGATGCCTCTTCAGCCTGCCTTTTGATTTTGTTTAAGAGAGTGTCACTAATAGCCTAGGCTAGCCTCAAGCTCACTATGTAGCCAGGGATGACTTTGAACTTCTTTCTGATCTTCATGTCTCTACCTCTAAAGCATTAGAATTATAGGCAAGAGTTTCACTATACCTGGTTTTATGTGGCGTTCGTTGAAGACCAAATCCAGGGCTCCTTGAGTGCTAGATAAGGACTCTACCAACTGAATACAACCCTAGCCCAGTTTGCCTTTTGTAGAAGCTGATCTCCTTTTTTTTCTAAGAATGCCCTGGAACCACCCACACGCACTCCTGAGTCCTCTCCTGCCACATCCTCACTTTTCATTGGCTCACTTCTCCTCCAGGCAGCCTTTTCATTCTTTGTGGTTCAACTCAAAACCTCAGTTCCCCCATAAAATATTCCTCAAATGCCTCACTTCTCCTCTCCTGGATTTCTCACAGCACCCACTGTTTTGGAATTCTAGAGGCCACATCATAAGTTATCTTTATGTGTGTGCTTTATTCACACAACTATCCGACACAGGTCTAAGAGAACATGCTCCATATTTTAATTGTCTGAGTTTCCCTCAAGTCAATGCCTTGCACAAAACATGTATTCAGTAGACACTTGACTGTTTGAGCAAGCCAATCAGTCTCTAAGAACACAGTTGCCTTGTTTCATTATTAATAACTTAACTTGTCAGGACACACAGACTTCAGACTTGTGAAATGGAGAATCTGGCATCACTTCATATTTCAAAATGTCCATTACCTTAGATTACATGAAAATCCCATTTGGCCATAAGGTTTTGCTCCGGTTTTTAATCCAATCTTTTTTCTTTTCTTTTTTCAGCCTTTTGAGACTGGGTCTTGCTTTGTGGTGCTTGTTAACCTGGTATTAGTCTATGTGGCCCGGGCTGGTCTCTGAAGCAATCCTCCTGCTTCAGCTTCTGGATGCTAGCTATTACAGGTATGCACCTATCGCCCTAGGCTACCCTTCCTCTGAGTCTTTAGTTGAAAGTTCACGAACACAACTAAAATTATCATGATGTCTACTGAGCCTCATAGTGGGAACCTAATTCGTGGCTTTTCTATTTTCATAGTCCACTACCTATTATTGTACCAATAATTCAAAGGACCTCACAGAAATGTGTTAAGTACTGTTTGCTTTCTGGGATAACAGCTGTCACCACCCGTCAGTCACCAGTTCACTCCCTGGGCTTATTACAGTGACTTGGTTTTACTGTCTTCACTCCCTCCCCATACTCGAGAAAAACAAACAAAAATGAGGTTTATTGAAGAATCATAAAAGTGAATGCTGTTGGTAAAAAGCAGTCTAAACACATCAGTGGGACATCCTCTTAACCAAATCTGCCGACCTCGCCAAGATTTTCTAATGCAAACAAGATCACCGAGAAGACAATGGAGAAACACTCCAGAAGGAAAGGTAGCAAGAAGACGTACTTTGACAAACTGACCCGGTCACTCCGAGGATCTGGCCCGGGGAAGGCAGGGATGACAACCGCTACTCTTGCTGACTCCCGCTAGGCTTTCCCGGGACTTTCCTACGCTCGTCCCACAGCGGATCCTGGATGACCGCGTCCCTCCTCTGCGCCCAGATTCGCGCGCTCCGGGGCGCTGCACGCAGGTGACCTCTGCGCGCTCGGCCCGGCTTGCACGGCCCTCCTCAGGCCTGGCCCCCACCCGGGCCCGGGCTTCGGTCCCCAGCGCGGTTCGGGCTGGCCTGACCGGGGGAGGGGCGCGGCGGCAGAGAACTGCGTCGGGGCGCGGGGCAGGCCTTACCGCAGCGGAGTGGGAGGCCGGGATCGGGCGGCGCCGGGGCGCACGCGGAGCGGGGAGGTGGCTGCAGCCCGGATAGCGGGGACAGCCGAGGGGACCCCGGCGGGCGCCCAGGACGCGGCGGGCTGCACGGGCGCCGCCATGGTGAGGACGCAGCGGCGGGACCACCAATCCCGGGGTCTGCCTCGGCGGCCGCGCCGGGGGTCGGGCATGTACAGCCAATGGGCGCACTGGAATCGGGCGGAGCACCGGGCAGGCCAATGCGGGGCTTCGCCGCAGGGGTGGGCGGGCCCGGATCAGGGAGACCCAATGGAAGCCGGAGTCAGAGTACGCCCCACATTCCCGGGTTAGGGAGTTGGGGCTGGGAAGGAGAGTCACAAGGAGCTGCTGATCGTGGGACAGCCCCGCTGTGGTCAGGTCCTCTCCGACTCCCAGAGGAAGTCTCCTGTCTATACCACACCACTCTGTTGTCAGACCGGGTCGCTAAAGGACCCTGTCCCCATGGACCTGTTTCTGAGGTGCCAGCGGTCGTGATCCGACCGCTATATCGGCTCCTAAGGCCCTGTCCAATGCTGTGAGGGTAAGAGGCCACCTAAATCCAGACAGCGCTCTTTATTATCAATTTTTGAGCCTCGTTTAAACGTGGCTGATTGGCTACAAGACCAACCCATATAACCAGCAGTTCAGGAGGTTGCTCCCTCATCACGATGCAGAGCACATAATCCACCCATGGCAGAATTTAATTCACAATATCCCGAATAAGTGGGATCTTAACCTGCCACTATTGGATGCCAACCCAAACATTGCACCCTGCTCTACATAAGGCGGGCTTTCTGCTTTGGCTGTGGTCATTCCTGAGCCCAGACTTGACTACAGGCTAGGAAGTACCTAGCAAAGAACCAAATTTAAGTTTTGCAAACTCAAGGCCCAGAACAAAAACTCCACAAGCCAGTTTTGTGAGACTTGGGGAAAGTCCCATCATATGTTTGAGCTGGAGTTTTCTTATGCCTATTATACCGACCAAAAGTGTTTTTAAATGGTTGCTTTAGCCAAGCATGATAGACTTGGTGTGTACTCAACTACTCTGTTCGCTGAAGCAGTATTAAACACTCAAGACCAGACTGGATAACTGGTGGGTCCCAGGTTTTTTTTTTTTTTTTTTTTTTCTTTTTTTTTTCTTTTACTGTATATGTGTATGTTCTGGTGTCTGAAACCGGAGGTACAGGCAGATGCAGCCACCAAGTGGGTAGTAGAGTGGGTAGTAGGAACTGAACCTGGGTCCCCTATAAGAGCAAGTGTTCTTAACAGCTGTCATCTCTCCATCCCATGGTGAGCCCATTTTGGGGGGGGAGAGAAGAGAGGGCTGTGAGTGGATGTAGTTCACCAGCCGTGTTTGCTTGATGATACATTTAAAGACTTCAAATCTTCAGTTACCAAGACCCAATTAGCAGGTCCTTCAGCATAATGGGGAGGAATTATGGGTACCTGAGAAAATTAAGTTTTCCTCCCTCCCAAAGATGTATGCTTTCTGGGTCCCGCTTACCATTCTAGAAAAGCTTACATAGCCCTACCTGGCTTCCCCAGCCATACCTCCCTGAGAACTAACTCCTGAGTGAAGAACAGAGGTCAACCTTGGGAGTTAGCTCCAGTAAACATCTTTCAAACTCTGCTCTTCCCTTTCTCTACAACCAATATGAAGCAGTAGTCACCTCCCAAGCTCCGGGGATACAAAGAAACAGTCTTTCTGCAGGCAGGTGGTCTGCTGCAGGAGCACAGAAGCTGAGGCAGCTGGAGTGGTGAGGCTGTGCAGAAACCCTGCAACTACTCAACCTAGCAGCTGCCCACAGCTCAGGCTCCCCTACTCACCTGTCCACTCAGGGAAGCACTCACTAAGCACTGCAGTGAGCAAGCAGCTTCTGCACCCCCACATGGAAAATGAATCTCTAGCTTTTCCAGCACCTAAAACATACTCCCTCCTGGTTCCACATAAATGGAAGTGAGTGGGCTCAGGGCAGTGAGGATATCAAATGGGGTTCAAGTAAAAACTTTTTATTTGTTTATTTTTTTTTATTTTTATTTTATTTATTTAATTTTTTTTTTTTTTTTTTTTTTTTTTTTTTTTTGAGACAGAGTTCCTCTGTATTGCTTTGGAGCCTGTCCTGGAACTCATTCTATAGACCAGGCTGGCCTTGAACTCACAATGATCCACCTGCCTCTGCCTGGATTAAAGGAATGTACCACCAACGCCTGGCCAAATAAACTCTTAAGAAGACTATAGTCTAACACTTTCCATTATCTCCTCCAGGAAAAGCAGAAAGAGGCACCGATAGCTTCAGGCCCTGGATGCTCATGGACCACAATCTTTGTCTAGTACAGAAAGAAGACACCCACCTGTGTGAACAGGCCCTGCTCCACAGCCTGACCTTGGGCCACTTGGGCTCCAAGGGGCAGACCACAGTCCATTCTCTGTTCAATACATTTTATTGCTAAGGACAAGGTAATGCACCAGTTTTCAAAATAATTTGGTTTATAGAGTTCATACGTAACAAAAAAGGGGAAGTATTATAAATTTGACTCCTGTATACAGAGCAAGGTATGAAGCCCTCCAATTCTGGGCCCAGGCAAGCAAATTCAAGAGGAGCAAAAAACCTGTTTAAACCCTTCAATGTTGCCCTCTAGTCCCACCCCCCCACCCTCAACCAGCCTCCCCCACCCCGACCAAGGGCATATTACACCTGCCCCTGGCCTCCAGTGGCCCTAGTTCATCCTAACCCCATAGCCCCTGCATAATTGCAATTTCCTCTGGACAAAAATCACCCATCAGGCTCTGCCTGTGTTTCCATCATTAAAATTCTCCCTTCAAGGTAGTCCCCACCCACACCCTCTAATACTGTGCCACAGGGGCTCTGTGCCTAAAGATTGTGGGCACACAGTGTGTAACCTCTGAGTTCTACTTCAAGGGCAGACAAAGAGGTGGCAGCCAGCTCGGTAGCATCTCAATAGTGCAGCTTTGCCTGCACTCTCCTGACACCAGTCCAGGTAGGGACAGATGGTATCCCCCCTCTAGCCATCCCCCAGGCCCTGACTCAGCTCAGCTGAGGGCAGAATTTCACATTTTGTTTGCCCTGCAGAGGCAAAGAAGAAAGTGAAGGCTAGGGACTGTCAGAAGCTGGTCCAAACCAAGCACACGGGCATACACACACGCGCACACACACTCACTCACACACGCACGCATGTGCGCACGCACACGCGCACGCACACATACATAAATACAAAAGGGAATCGGTCAAGCACCAGCACCTCTGCCTTGCTGATGCAGGGAAGCGGTAGGAAGCTACATCCTGGGCCAGGAACAGAGCGATCAGCCCAGCAGGCACAGCTGACCCATGTTTGGACCGGGGTCCTATGCAGTCACAGCATTCCAGTGTCAGCCCCTCAGCTGGAGACCAGCAGCTGTTGCCAAGTGTCCCCAAAAGGCTTGTCTTTTCATGGCAGAATCCATTGATGGTGGAGTGAGAAGGTGATGGGCCAGTCCTACATATCATTCCTTTTCTTTGTACAGCTTTTTTGAGACTTCTGAGTTCCAAATATCTGCTGTGTTGTGGAACCCTCGAGTGCTCTCGCCTTGATGGCTGGGAACCTCTGAGACCCTTGGAAGCATCTACTCCATGATGGCTCGGTACAGTGCTGGCTCAATGTAATCCTCCCGGTACCTCGAGTTGATGACCCGTTGCCTTTTCTTTTCTTGCTTTACTTCCTTCTCGGTGAAAATCTCATTGAAGCGCATGTCTGAAGCTACTGACTACCAAAGAAAAAAAGGCAAGTAAATAGTCAGTCTGTGGCCATTTGGACCAGTAACCAGCTAAGGGACATACCCCCTTGCCTTGTTCTCTTCCCCTTTGAGACAGAAGCTAAGGACATAGAAGCATACACTCACCAGTCTAGACTTGACTCTCTTGGGAAGCTCTTCATCCAGCGTGTATACATCATCTCTCTTAACCACAAGCTGTGAGCCATCCTCAAACTCCACCTGCCAAGCAAACAAAGGCCTTTAGCTATCGTACCACAGTCTTGCTGGGCCTGTGTGCACAGCAGCTACTTCCGATAGCTAGAGAAAGGTAACACGGTAGGTAGTAAGGGCTGCCAAGTCTGAAAGCACATCAGCAAAGGAGACACAAGGCAGAGCTCCATGTCTGTGAAGATTCTTCAGATCTGCAAGTTCTTAAGAGCAAAGACAAGCTTCCTGCCCAGGAGGAAACACTGGATTAATAAAGTACCCTCCCATTCAAGAACCTCTGGCTACCTGGTACATCTGGATGGGGTGGGAGGCCACGAACTTGGCCCCATAGACTTGACCATCTGTCCATCTCACTTGGACCACTTCACCTTCAGCAGGAGGCCCCAGCTGGAGACAGTCCTGACTCTGAAGAAAGAGCAGACGAGAGTGAAGAGCGGCTCCGCCTGCTCAGTGGTGAGTGACACTGACTCAGAGAGGAAGGGCCAGGGACAGGCTCCTGCTCAGGGGCCCAGGAAAGGCAGCTTGCTCTGGGTTGAAAGCTGCAGTCAGTCACAGGGTTGGCCTCATTTTACCTGCCCAGTCCCTGCTGCTTCTAGGTGAGCAAAACAAACAAACAAACAAAATACAAAAACACCAAGCAAGCGTGGTAAACAGTAAACACAGTAAGCACAGACGAGGTGTGGGGTTCTAGAAGCCTCGGTCCTTGTGTCCTCTCAATGAACTTCTTTCTTAAGCTTCCCCAGGACCTGCTCTGGAGGAATGTACTTAAATACGTTCTAAGAAATTCTTGAAATAGAAAGGGCAGGAGCATGGTGAGGCGCACCCAGGAGAGGAGCCTGAGTAGAAGTCCAGCTTTGGCTATGCAGTGTGGCCTGGTATATAACAAAAAACAATGCCAGGGGATGTGGCTCTGGCCCTGATGCCCAGCATCACAAAACAAAACACACATTAGCCCTTTTGTTGTGTTGACAATCCCAGAAAAATCTATGATGAGTATTAAAAAAAACAAAAAAAAAAAAAAAAAAAAAAAAAAAAAAAAAAAAAGGCCATGTGTGCAAATCAGAGACTTTAAGCTTTCCCAATTTCTACTGCACAATTTCTACTGTACATACGAAGTTTAACGGGATAA